GAATGTCACTAGTGAAGGTACTACCAGTAAGCTGTCCTCGTAGTTCGTAAGTACAAGAAATCTATGAAATATTTGAAAGAATTTCTTTGAATCATGGTGGCTGCATGAAACACCGCTGATTGGCCGCTCGTACGCCAATTTTCCTCGACGGCGCTTCGCCACGAAAAATCGCTAAATTGCTTCTTTGAAATGCCGGAAAAGCGGAGGAAACGGTTTCCTCCGTAGTTCGCTCGACAAGTTCTTCTTGGTAGACTTCAAGCATCGTTACTCACTTGATGATCCGCGCAATGTACTCTCTCGGGCTGATTTTCTCTCACCTTTACAATTCACAAAGTAGAGCAGGTATCGGTGATCGACGAAAAAAAATGTTCGCACATGCGAGACCAAATAAGAATGGATGTTAACACACACACACACAAGTAAAAAAATTAATAAAATAATTTTATTCAAAAAATTTAAATAATTAATTTAAATATATATTGTAAGATAATTAATGTAATTAAAATGATTTTATCCTGTTTTTTTTATTTAATAAGAGGGAAAGATTTTGTGGTTTATTATATTTTTTATTATTTTTTTAAAAAGCGTTTTCACGTTTTAAAAAATGTTATGGTCAATCGCAAGAATCGAAATGTGAAGTTTTTAATTTTTTTTTGTAACTATAACAAATCTTTAAATAATCTTATAATTATAAGTGTTTTAGTTTTTTAATAACAGAAAATTATTAAGTTGTTTCGTTTATCCATTGATATTAGATGATCTTTTGGCATAAAAAAGAATAATTTATCTAGAAAAGTAATATGAGGAATTTAAATTCATAAAATTTGAAATTCAAGTTTTAACTTAAATATAGTCATGACTTATAAATCATATTGATCTTTGACATCGTGTTTCGAATGTTTTCGACGAAATGGAGAGGTGTCCCCTTTAACGTCTTCAATAGTCCATGTGACACTCTGGCTCCTAGGTTTCCTTGGCAACCATCCCAATTGAAACGCGTGTCAGAAGTCGGAAGAATGGTATATAAGAGAGGTAGGAAAAAGTAACGATAGAGACGAAAGTAACGACTGAAATCTCAAACTTGGAACCGGCAATTCCGTTTATGTTATTTCGAGAGGATGGCGAAATCTGATTTGCATCGTACACTTGTTTTATTTGCTTACAAAAGTAAAAAAAAACCTGTATCTCTACAGTTTTTTCATTTCAACGATTGTGGGTTCATCATTTTCGATACGTCTTTTAATAATTCATGTTAAAAAATATTTAATAAAATCTATAAAATATTGGTAAGTCAGCTTTATGTAAAAAAGGTCTGGATTATACTTTTAAATTTCATTTAAATTCGTTTTACATCCATTGTAAGAGATACTGCAGGCGCTTGAAAAAGTCAGAATTTTTTACTATGCACGCAAATGGTTCGTGAAAAATTGATAATAGGCGCTATGTTGCCTCGAACGGCTAAATTGTCCTCTTTGTACGATTTTTTAAAATGAGATTCAAATTGATTCCTCTTTTTGGAGTAAATCTGACTCTCGATATATATTTACCTACGTACGAATTCATTAAAATGTAAAGAATATTTAGTCAGAAATATTGAAAAACTGTCTCTAGTCTGTCTGTTTTTGTTTCAAATCTGACTTTTATCTTTTGAATATTGAATTGAGTTCTTAAAAAGAAATAAAAAATTAATTTTTGCAAACTTTTAACAAGAACAAAATGTTAGGATTTTCAAAACTATAATCGATAATACAATCTATCGAATATATCATAAAAATATGATATACTCAACAGCACACGGAAAGAATTTTAATTTTGTTGTAGTATTAAAAAATTGAACTAGATACAGATTTGAAAATAATTTTTTTGTACCATTAAAATAATTATGTAGGACGCTGTTTGGGGTTCCTATCTAATTATTTTAACAATCCAACAAAATTTTCAAATTTGTACTTCGCTAAATTTTTAGGTACCTACATCAGCAAAATTAATTTTTGTGTAGCAAATAGTAACTACAAGATATAAAGTTAAAAAAAATTTTTTATTACAAGAAGTGGGAGAATTTTGCAATTATCTCTCAAATTAAATTAAATTTTTTAAAAGTCTAAAAAATTAAAATATTCTTTTATAGAATTTTTTTTTATGACAGCAAATGAAAAGTTTATAAAAGAGGATATTTTTTATATTAAAATAATTGCTTTCTCAAATGTATTATATATTACTGAATTGCAATACTTTATTACTCAACGGTTAGATTTTACGTTAATTTTGCAAGTTTCTATTCCGTACCATTCATTTAACACGTAAAGCTTTCTCGTAACAAACGAAAGTCGAGCGCTTGGAGAACGGTGTAGCGAGGGGTTAAGGCGTAGAGCCATAGAGGGTGATCAAGGGAGAGGGTGGTCTTGTGCTATTAACAGCTAATGAAAATTAGCTTTCGTCGGTTGATTGAGCGTTAAATCGTTCCTTTCTCGTTTTACGAGACAAGTCCATCAGTGGTGCACTCAAACGAATGTACTTCTGCTTCAAATTGTGAGCTTGTTACCGTCGATAGCAAATTTCTGACTCAAAAATTGGAAATGGTTTATTGCATTCTGAACTAATATTCTTCAAATTTAAATATAAATTTCGTTATAGTTAAATATTCGATAAATGCTAATACTAAGAAACATTTCGAATCAATAATGACATTATTTTTATAGAAATATGATTTTAATTTTCTGAATGCAAAATAGAGAGTAAATTTGAAAATATAATTTTTTATATTAAATCTGTTTTATTGACAAATCTATTTGATTGGATGCGCTTTGTATTTATTTTATTTTTATTTGTATAGCTTGTTTTACCACAAGCTAAGCAGGGATTTGTAACATTATTGAAACAGCTTTTATTTATTTATATCAAAAGATTGGAACAATGCTGATTGTAACAATTAACGCAATGACTTCTATCCATACTCGTGATTTAAACGTACGCAACGGAAAATCGGTTAGGCTGTATAGACTTTATAGTCGCTTCTGCAGTCCATTATTGCTTCGTTTAGAACAGTTCTAAACATTGTAAAGCCATAATACTCTTGCGCTAAACGAGGCCTTGTGTCGATGCACAGTCGCTGTTAGTGCCACGCAAAACTCGTAATAATTTGTGGCTTGCGTCACGAAAATTGTGCCGACCACTACAGTTTGTTGATACTCAGGAACGCCAAAAATACGAATTACAAAGCAAATGGATGATAGATGATCAAAGAGTTTTCTGTTGCTTACCAAAATTTAAATTCCTTTATTTATATAGCTGTGCAAAATTATTACTTCTTTAATTTATTTGATTTTTATGAAGCATTCAATTAGATATCTGTACACATATCTGGGTATATTTATCGTTGAGACATTATACTTTTTCACATATTCGACGTATTGATGAAAAAAGAATAATATATCTGAGCTTATTAAATACTCTATGATCATTGCTATTGTGCGTATGCATGCAATTAAAACTTAAGAAGCCTAAACAAATACATTAAAAACTACTAATTCCTTGACACTCAGAGACCGTCATAAGGATTTACATGGGCGGAATGTAAAAGACGTTTCGGCGAGGGCAATGTAACACTTTTGTTTACAACAGATGAGTGTCAGATCTAGATTTTTTCTCGTCCGTCGGTTAAGCTTGCTCGTCTCCACGTCTGAATAAACATATCTGATGTCTGTTGGGCCCACCCAGACACAGCCATTAAAACCCTTATGAGAAAGTCGGTTGCAATCACCAAGAAAACCCATTTTTCCACCTGCAACTTTGTATTTTTTTTTTCGAAATTGAAAGGAGAAAGAAAGGGAGAAATTGAGGAAAAAAAAACATTCATGATAGATCCTTGTTGATATACATATTTTTATTTAAAGACATTTACGCATCTATACTTAACAATAAATTGAGTTTGAACACGGTACACGCGTAGCGCATGTTAAACAAATTTAATTAGCATTAAATATTTAATTTATATTTTACATTGCACACGTTCCGCTATTAATTGCACATGTTTTGTTAGTAATTCGAAGAACACATTTTTTATTTTCACTTTAATAAAAATTGTACTTCGTAATTTCTATAGTCAGACAATATTTCCTCAATTAAGAAAAAAGCACAATAAATTTTAATAATACAATAGTTGTGCAACGTCGTCTTTGGTTTTCTTTGCTTTAAGGTACGAAACATTGAAGTTTAAAATATCAAAAGATTAATAGGAAATTAACAGAAGCTCTAGCTTGGTTTGAATTTTGATTTTTCTATTTCTTTCCAAATTTAAGTTTGGTATTTCAGATAACAAAAAAGAAAATACAGGAAATTTAATATTTTGTATTTTATACATTTATTTACAGGCTAATTTACACGATTGTTTTTATATCGCTATTGAATTACAATACATATGCGTGCGATGATGACAACTACAAGATGATTGGTAAATCCAATTATTTATGTGATAATATAATTCTGAAGAAAGGACTTTTTATGCACAAAAAGTGCTTATAGGTCAAAATACAATTGAAAGACTTGGAAATAATATCTTAAATTGGAGCATATTTTGCAAATGAGCTGTTAACGAATTATAAGTAATATTATTACTTATAATCATAAATTATTAGTATATATTTAGTATAGTCAAATTTCGAACGTATTTTTAATTTTCTATTCTAAAAAATGTAGATATGCTTCTTGAAGCTATATTATTTAATAAATAAATACAATCTAAAAATTTCATATATGTGTACAGTTTTTATGTAGTTGAGCACATTGTTGCCTTCAATTCATTTCAAGTCCTTCAATTCATTTCTCAGACAAAATCATTTTCCAGAAAGGAGTTCTCAACATTCGTTTCAATATATCTACCTAAAGATATTATATCATCAAAGTATTTTCTAAATGATGATATTTTGACGTTATTTCCTGAACTACCATCATCTTCGTTTAGACATGGAACAATAGTCGATACTTCGAGAGCAGTCTATCATTCACTTTTCGTCCTTGATTTTCGAAATTTGGTTTGGATCGAAATCGGATGTGATTGGGCTTTGTACCTGAACATGAGTGGCATGTAGGGGTGGACAGAGTAACGGATGATATGGCAGACAATAATACGGGAAACCACCGAGCGCTTTGTTCGCGGGATGAATCTGCGGGTTCGACATTTGCCCGGGAAGTTGTCCGGAACCACGAAGAGGCAATCCCCTCAAATGTTCATCCGGATGTACTAGAACGCGTACAGCCACGCGCCTGGCACTTCCAGAGTTTACGAGGGCGCCCAATTCCTAATTAACAGTTAATGAAATTTCATAATTGAAAAAAATATTTTTAACAAAATGTAATTTGTTTTTTGAAAATTATATGTATTTTCCAAGATTTTCGTATTAAATCTAGGAAAATAATGAGATGTGTAAGCATAGATAAAAAAAATTGCACCGTCGATTCTGAAACCAGATCTTGACTTGCGTTTCCGTTAATTTTAAGCCACGCGCTAAATCTGCTCTTTCTGGACCCGACAAATATTTTTGAGCAGCAAATCTTCTTTCCAGTTCATAGACTTGCGCATGCGAGAATGCTGCCCTGCTGCGCTTTTTTCTGTTCTGCAAACTTTGGCCTGAATTTTGCGATTCGTACGCGTCGTCCTCCGCCTCGTCTGTAAGATAAGTGAACGAACTTTTATTTTATAAATATTATGATTTATTACAATGTGAACAAATTTTAATTAATAGAGGCGTAAAAAATAAACTTTTATTATATTGATAATTTCCATAAAATTTTGATGTTATCAAACACATTCTAATGCATATCTATAAATCATTATTTATTAAAAGAACAGAGCTTTTAAGTTTTTACATATCGACGAATGGTGGAATCTCATTTTTCGAATAACGCGAGCTTACTGTACAAATTCGTTTGCGGACAAATATTTAGATTTGCGCGAGAATCTGCAACTATACTGTAAAGCAATCGTTTAACTCGAAAGCCGGAGTAATCATCAACGAGGAGCTATAGAGACGATGAACGATCGGAGAGAGAAAGAACGAGAGAGAACCTCGTTGCTTTTGATGTCTCGTACAAACATTAACACATGTACTCGCTACTCCGACATGTTTATGCTTCTGTTCCGCGGTAATTCTCCTCTAAGTTTAACCAGTGGCACTAGAGTACAATCGTATTGCAGATCAGACTAGCTTCTTCTACTTGGCAACGAGCTTGATCCGCTACTTTGCGATACATACCTCCCATTATGAATAAAAAATAACTTTTAACGAGAATAATAAAAATTAATTATATCTCTGAAAACAAATAACAGTCTGCGTTTTAATTTTAAGGTATACTTGCAGATTTTTTTATCGACACAAAAAAAACTCACATATTTGAAACTAAAAATAGTAATTCTTAAATTAAATTTATATATTTTTTAAATTACTCTCGATATAAAGCTATAAAACTTTTACTCTAAGCATTTTTTCTCGCAAAAATACTTCGATTACGGATATAAAAAATGTTATAAATATCTGCACAGTAAGAACAGTTTGCTGAAGTATCTAAAAATTTAGCTAAATACAGATTTGGAAATAATTTTATTAAAATCAAAATATTTATGTATGACGCAAGCTGATTGCTAGAATGTTAAATTTTTTTGTAGTATTATTCATCATGCTTGATATTTCTACATAATTATTTTGATGGTTCAATAAAATTATTTTCAGATCTGTATCTAGCTAAATTTTTAGATACTTCAGCAAAATCGTTGTTTGCATGAGATTATTAAGAAATTCCGATATTTCTCTCTAAAACATGTTATCCTTAAAATGCAGATTCCTTGCTTTTAATAATTAATAATTGAAGTATCGTGTTCAAGGAAGATACTTTCACGTATTTTAAAATAATACAAAAAAATTTTTAATAATTTTTTTTCTAAATCAGGAAGTATTTTCAAATAAATCACAATGTTCTCCTAACAGTGTCATAATTATTTCACGCTCGAAACGCTCATCCTACGTCAATGTTTATCGTCGGTGGTCAGCAGGAGACGTGGAGCATTTAGAGAGATCTATATTTGATCACTTTCGACGTCGACTAGATGCCATCTCGTCCGGCTAATGCGTCCATCCTTCGTGCTCGTCAAACATCCTATGGATGTTTATATCGAGTCTATATCGAGAGTTCAGTTCCAGGAGAGCAAGTGGCGTCTACTGACTCTGATTACATCGATGATCCTTCGAGACCACTAAAACGCTTTTCGGCTCCTCCATCGCGGATAGATTTTATCGGGAAGGACGCGAAAATCAAGAAGGATTTTCTCAGTTATTATTAGTTATTATTACAGCAATAAGTGGTTAATAATAATTTGTCGCGACAACGTTGATTCTTTTGACTATCCATTATCATATTAAATGACTGGAGAGATTTCCCCCTCGAAAGTGGACTCGTAATTTTCTAAGTGCACCTTGAATCGGTGCCAGCTCGTGTCTACCTCTTCACCCTCGAGCTGCTGCAAACAATGTGCTATCGTGCGGTTTCAGGTGACAATTCTTCGTTTAAGAGCAGACGCTCTTTCGTAATGTTAATTACTGTATATTTGGTGTTATCTTTACACGATCTATCTTTATAAAATTTTACGTGTTTCCTATAATTTTTTTCTATGAACGTATCCTGAAATTACTGTGAATCTTATTTTTTCTCAACTTTTTCAAATCATTTTGTACTATTTTCTTTCTTGCAATATAATACGTGTAGAAGTCAAGTTGTTATAAAATATATCTAATTATCACAGTTTAATACATATAATTTGTTAAATCCGGAATGAAACAATTAGTAGTTATGGTCAATAACGATTCGAATTTTATATTCTAAATGTTAAAAAATATCTTTACTTATAACTTTTATAGTTATGAAGGAATACAAAATAGAAATCCTGCGTATATCCTATCATGAATGCTGTTAATCATGATTGATTTCATAAAGCAGCCAGTGCGAGGGAGAGTATCTGTTTACCCTTATACTAAGGTAACACTATTCGACTAAAGTAACTCTATACTTTCGTATCATTAACGAGGGCGAGTATTACGAAAAAATGGACGTGGCATAAAGGGATGCAAAGGTAAACTATCGTTATCTCTTGTGTGTGTAATACATAACGCAATGTACATATGATACAGCTCAATTGATTAAATATAAAATATTCCAAACATAATATATATATGTATATAGCTATAAAATAGCAATATTGTATATTTTCGTGCAACACGTAGCGCAATACGTATATTGTAGCCAGCGAACGCAAACGATTAACTAAGAATTATTGCTATCCTATATGGAACACGTAGCACTACATCTGTCATGAATAAATCAATCATGAACGTTTACTCAGAAATAGTTAGCGATCGTAACCTTGATCTAAAATGGTTTGATCTAAACGTAGGTAATCTGCGAATTCTTGCGTGCTTGAGACACACAGAAACAGAGTGTGGCCAGAGATCGAACAAGTGCAAGAAGTAGCCGGTACTCGTGACGTCTGCCGAGTCGAGTGCCACTTATGCTACTAAAATTACATTCAATTACGTTATCTGCGCTCGGGTTAACTTTAAAAACCCTTGAAAAGAACTCGCCTGTTACGCGCGTATCTGCTCAAATGACCTCTTAAGCTCGCATCCTCGTATCCGATACAAGATCCTTCGTTTGGTCACCGTCTTTTAGAATCTCGAAATTATTGTTCTCGTTCGCAACATATGTTAGTTGAATTTCTTTTTTGAAAAAATTGACACGGTTTCGTCTCCTTGTAGACTTTACATGATTAAGAATAAATCTCTGATATTTATCATAACGATTTTTTTTAGTAATGTGACCTCAGTTTTTTAAGAAAATTTTGTTTCGTGGTTGCACGCATGTGAAGTTGCCTATCAATTGCTATTTTTGCAGAGTATTAATTTATTTAATTCAATACTGCAGAGTTAATGACTAAAAATTCAAATACATGATTTTATTTTCATGTTTTACTCGAGGAGATGAAAAAATTCGCGGTACGATACGTATTGTGTTACAAAATTATGCAATGATAATTTATGCATGCAAATAATATCACGTACCTAGATATTTATTTTTACTCATGTCCAAGGCTTCATCCTGCTGTCTATGAGAAGTTTCCGGTTCTTTAACAGACTGATATGCCGTCAGATTTCCCAGAGCCTCGAAGTGATTCTTAAAAGTTCCTTGAGTCAAGTGCGGGAGGCCTCCGAAATTTGATAAATTCGCCTGCGCCAAGTTTCTCCTCAAGATATCCAGCTCATGTGCCATGTTCAGCTCTGGGGTGGGCAATCTTTGATAATGAATCACCTGATCGTGATCGTAACTTCCGTCAAACTGCTCGTTCTCCGCGCGTTCATATTCACGATTGTGTCTTCTCATCGACATAGAAACTGTGGCCTGGATTTTCTCCAAATCACATCTCGAATCCGCGCCAGAGTTTTTTCGACTCAAGATATCAGCGATACTAAAGGGGGTTGGTTGAAGGGGTTTCGGCGAGGCTTCGCTGTGTTTCTCGTCCTCCATCACTCTATGCTTCGCTATTATTCTCACGATGGTCACAACGAAAGCTGTCTTAAAATAAGTTTTTCTATGCACTCAATGTCCTCTTCAAATTTTCTCTTCTTTAATCTTCTTCATAACTACCATCGTCGATTATTCACACACTCCAGGAAACTCGTCTCGTCACATCTTACAAATTGTCATCGTGCAAATTCACTACTTTGTTTTTTCTTCACAAAAAACTTTGACTTCTTTCACTTTTATAAACTTGTCGAAAAAAATCGTAAGATTACATGTCGAATTTTTTCAGTCACGCAGGATGCTGTCATTCTCGCTTGTCCGTCGACGTGTTAGAATAGAGGATCAGCCAACGAATGCTAGGCGTCTTCCGTGTTCACATAATCCCTGAGGAGACTCTCGAGCAGCCAGAGAGATCGTTGGTAGGCCGACTGGCGTTATTAATTGTTATTCCCGAGTGCTCGACCCTTCCGATTCGAGTGATGCTTCGGTCAAGTGTGCTTGTCGCCCGCGGAGACTTATTTTTCGAATTACCACACTCAACCCACAACTCGCCCTTCCTCCCTTGAGAAGAGCCTCCCTCTTTTACTCGACCAACCCCCACCTAAGAGATGCTTCGCCCTCTTCTCGCCCTTCCCTTCATCCCTCTTTCCTCCTGTTTCTCTTTCTATTTTACTAAGGTCTCTACTTTCACGAAGCTGATCTCACTCGAGACGGTTTTGTCTCTGCTAATCGAAAGATGAAGCTCAAAACTTATCAGATTCTGAACTTTCTTTCCTCTCCTTAACGAGCTTCGTAATGCTCTTCGTCACCCACCCTCTCAGTCCCGGCTCTCCTGAGTGAGCTTACACGCGCGAATATCGCACGTTCTGAGGTAGGTGGAGCTTTGGGTGTTCTACGTGCGATCGGACGTGACGCTTCCGTCACGACGCAAGCCTCGCCCTACGACCAATCCACAGCTTTTCCCGCGACGTCGCTTTTCCGCGATGGCCAATCCAGGCGGAGGCACGAGGTCGGGAAAGATTCTGCTACGGAGTGGGATCGCGGGAGATTTTAGATCATCGTGATTGTCGCGACCCCGCCGGAAACGTACGGGCACTTTAGAGATTTTCTCGTTTTGTCATTCGTGTCAGCGAAGATGATAAAAGGCTGCTTAAGTTCTTATCGAGCGATGAAGCAATCACTCACGGTAGTCATACATGATGACAGTTTCATTGATATATGTTTTATGATTAAATATATGAGATTTGATCGAATTGTATATTAGTAGATTAGGAAAGTATTTATCAGATTTAATCAGATTATATATAATCTATTGCATTTGACATCTTCTTTTACAGCAGAATGTGATAAAGTTGTTTTATAGTTTTTCAATTAATATTGTGATATACGTTTCCTATTTATTCTTTCTCGTTTTTTATATCATTCTTGTTTAATTATTTTTAATAAAATATTTTTTATTAAAAGTAATACTTGAATAATCTAAAGTGTATTTTAAACGACCTACTTAAATTCTGTTTATATCACAGAATTAAAATTCTATTTACAACTTTGTATACTGTATAATATGAAAGACGTTTGAAAAGTCAGAAAAATATATAAACTCACATACACACATATCAAAATATACGACAGATATGGAATTACAAATAAAATTTTATTTTAAAGTTAGACGCAAATTACATTTAAAATGGACTTAAAATACTTTTTTTTAAGAAATTAAAAGAAGTGAGATATTATTATAAAATAAAGTATTCGATATCAAATGGTTAGGAATTATATTTCAAAAGACCATGCTACTAGTTAATGAAAAATGATCGAAGTTAATGGAATCAAATCACTAGATAATTTCAAAAAGTTACTCCGTTCTCTTTGTACATAGGTATAAACGGAATGGTAGGTGCTACGATACTTTTCGATACGATACGAGAGAAACTGTGTGGTGCATATATAGGGTGTGCTTTACATAACAATCGCCGCTAAAGACTCGCGGCATTGTCCGCCACGTGCTAGGCACCCGAGTTCCTATGGCGGTTTAATTAAGTGTGAACCACAGGAACGTGGACTACGCTTGAGTTGATCTGATGATGACCTCACGCGCTCGAGATATCGATGAGAAAATACTTTCGCTCTCTCTATCCTCTCTTTGAATAACTTGTCATTGTGTGGTACATCAAATTTTATTACACACAAAAATAATTAAAATCTTAATACAAATTAACATGATCTTTAAAAAGTTATTTATACTGACAGACTTATTTTAAATATGGAAATTAAAAATTCTTTGTCAAAAATATGGTTTGCTTTTTTTTTCATTGAAAGTAACTTTTTTTTTAATTAAAATGTTAATTAACAATAGAAAACTATAAACACGCTTTAACATTACAACGTGAGAATCAAAACGCTCTAAGAATATTTTTTCTATACTGTTTCTAAATAAATAAAAAAATATTTAGGAGACTAGCTGCCTTATCCTAATATATATATTTAATTTTATTTGAGATATATGTATATATTTTATCATCTTTTACATTTATTTTGATATAAAATTATCAACAGTTATTTTCTTGTTTGATTATGGTACGGAACATGAAAAATTTATGAATACTTAAATTATGAATGACACATGATCTTTCGCGAATTCTGATAATTACCTAAAATCAACAAAATTTTTTTTAAAAATAAAGAACAAATTGTGTATCAACCATTATGCTTTAAGTATCCGGACCGGATATTGGAAAAACGCCATCCGCCATTTGCTCGTTACACTCCGTTATACACAGACGTTCTGAGACCAATCTTAAGTCTACATACCGAGACCTCTTTTTCTTGATCCGATCTAATCAATAATAAATTATAGGGGGATGGTGGTACATCTCTCCCCTAAAGCTAAGGTTCTGACCCTCCCGCTCAATTGGTCGCAATTCTTAAAGACCTTAATTGGCGCGGAAAATTATACCTTATTTCAGTTACCCCCGAACAAGACCGACGTTCGCCCTTCGCCGATTCCATCCTTTACTCTATCTCGCTACACTTTGTTACCTCTCGTCTTTTCCTCCTTCGCTCGATTTTTGCCACTCGGATATTTCTTTTTACGCCATGAGCAATCATTCGAAATATCGAGATCGCGTGATGTCGAGTATATAGAGCAGGTGGAATTTTTATTGAGAGACACGTCGTCGTGAGATAGGTGGACCAATTACGGGATGAAGTGTCGGTCGTTTACGAAATGAAGTCTCTGTCAGCGAACATTATCTCGCCAGCATCCGTCTGCCAACTCCGGCAGTCGTCATTCATATGACAAGTCGGTCTGTTGCGCAAAATGTCACCGGCCTCGACGTTTGTCTTAAACAGAGCTTTGCGGTTACCCTTTTAAAATGCTCGTCTTCGCCTGTCGCGTGAAGAGAGCAACTGGAGATGTCCCATAAAATCAAATAGTTCTGTACAAGGCTCTTTCCGAGCCCAATTTAACCGGCAGTCAATAAAGACTGCGAACTAACGGCGGAGCTCGTTCAACGACCGTATCGGAACGAAAGCGAAACGTTAACGTAAACTGAAAAACAATCGTCAGCCACGGCGGCTGTCACTCCAACGAGGAGTTTGGCATCCGCGTGGCAGAGTCATCTGTTTCTTACGCGGTCGCGATCGTTTATTTTTCCAGAATGGTCGCTAAAACACCCTCGTTCCGTTCGGTCCTCCAAGTAATTTTAACTATTTATAGCGGTCCACCTAAATGAGCTATTGGGGCATTTTTTTACGAGAAAGGTCGAAATTCAGACGAATCGATGAGCGGTACTTATTAGGGCTTATTCTGTAATCTGAATTTATCACACGTTTTATACATTTTTACTTAAATGATACTGACTAAAATAATCTTTGGTTATAGCTTTTTTATAATTGAAGAAAATATATAACACTTCTCATAAATTGCATAATATATTATTTTTGTAATAAAACAGAATACGCGTTGGTATTTAACCGTAATAAAAGAATACCATATTAATTATATGGAAAATTGAGTCACGGTTAAATGAGTAAGTTTTAACATATAATGTGGTGAATAAAACATGTTATAGATACAAAACTCAATAATGAAAGACTCAATAGTCTTTGAGTTATATGCATATACATCAAAGTAGTTAAACTTATGCTCACAGAACATCTTTGATATATGGTAGCTCAAAAACCCATTATTGATTATCTATAACATGTTTTGTTTACCACATTATAAGTTATATTATGTATAAAAAATAACTTGTATTTTTTTCACTAAGATTCCAATTTTCCATATAAGTGCGAAGTTCTTTAAAAAATGTAAAATTAAAAATGTCCAAAATAGTCCAAAATATTATATAAAATTAAAAGAAATTATAAATTTATAAAATAAATCTTACATTTTAAAATATAAAATCTATAATTGTTACATGTTATAATCATAGGTTATTAATTTTAATAAATATATTTTTTTATTAACGATATTAATGGCCTCAGAAGTTCGAAAAGTCAAGAAAAATCGACAAGCGAGGAGCTGATCGGGATTCATGATGTAGAGGCAGGGAATAGAGGAAGGAAGAAGAAAAGAGAGAGGAAACCTGAATGAGCGGGAGTGGCGGCGGCAGCATACACTAAGCACTAATATTACGTCTCTGGACTGACAGACGCGCGGACTTTAAAACCCAAGACTAACAAACAGTTAGCAGTCATCCGGTCTTCTTGCTTTTATATTCTTATGCGCACGTTCACGCGCGCGGCCGCCCATATCGCGCGCCAACGCTCGCGCGAGTAAGTCTCTCTTTCTCCCGCGTGCCTTGCACTCTGGTTACTTTCGCGTTGTCAAACGGCGATCGAAATTTCCTGCTCGCCTTCGCCGAAGGCAAAGACAAGGTTTCCTGTCGACGAGGAATTTCGAAGAGAAGTCAAGCCCTCGTCAAAGCTGAGAGCGCGACTTTCGTCATCGCGGGAATAGCCATTCTTAGATATCGTTCGCAGAAGGATTGCTTCTATCGCGATGCCTTGATGTGATATCCGTGGTATCATCACACATAGATTGACATTCACATATATGATGTATATTTGTGTATGAGTTTTATCAGTTTACTTTATCTCATTTTATTATCTATATAAATAATCTTATATTTCAATAAACAATAAATAAATCAAA